ACTACTACTACTACTACTACTACTACTACGACTACGACTACTACTACTACTACTACTACTACTACCACTACTACTACTGCTACTACTACTACTCGTCCTGCTCCTCCTCCATATCCATCTCCCATCTCCCATCTCCCATCTCGTCCTCCTCCTCTTCCTCCTCTTCTTCCTCCTTTTCCTTCTCCTCCTCCTCCTCGCCCTCCTCCTCGGAGCTGTCGTCGGCCTTCGCAGCCCACTCTTTCGGCACCCGTTGCGATCGTACGGATCCTCGGCCGCCCCTCGCTGTGGCGTCCGGCTGGACCAGCGTCGGCGGGGCCGCCGTCCCCAGGGCCGCCGCCGCGCCGCGCGCGGCCGGGGCCCGCGGCGCCCGGGGAGGATATCTTCAGCAACTCCACCTGAGCGACGCTCCCTCCTCCTCCTCCTCCCCCTCCTCGTCCTCCTCCGCCTACCTCCTCCTCCTCCTCCTCCCTCCTCCTCCTCCTCCTCTCTTCCCGCCTCCGCTCCTCCTCCTCCTCTCCCCCTACTCCTCGTCCTCCTCCGCCTACCTCCTCCTCCCTCTGAGGCGCGGGTCTTATGCGAGATGACGTAGCGTCCATACGCGGCGGCCATACGCGGGCCGCCAGCGCGGCACGCCACATCTGAACCGAGGGCGCTAGCGCGCCACCTCACGCGGGAAGCTCACGCGCGAATGTCGGCGCAATCGAACCCGGTGTTTTGCGTCGCTCACCTCGGGAGCAGCCTACACCGAACAAGTCCCCGGGAAATGGTCGGGCCTCCCGGCGACCGCTTCTGAAAAAGAACAACACATCTAAAAGAAGAAAGGACGCTATCAACATAAATTTCTGGCGTTCCGCGCGGATTGCTTGCATCCGCGCCGGACCCCCTCCCTGGAGCGCGGAGCGCGCCAGGAGCGCGCCAGGGGCGGCGCCAGAGGCGCCGCTAGGGAAGCCCAGGCGCAGACCCAAGAAATCCGCGCGGAGTGTCGAAAAATTATGCGTATGGCGCTGTTTCATCTTCGAACATCGCATGTCTGGTGGGATCAGGAAATCGGATCACACATTGGAAGGGACCTCTCAAGCTTTCGTCAGGCCTGCTGCGCAGTGCCCGTAAGAGCAAGAACGCAGCTGAGCACAGGAGGGCATGCAGGCAGCTACGGAGCTCGGGCATGCAGAAGCAAGGTGCGGACGACGCTGCAAAACCCTAGGAGAGCCGAGCATTGACAGCGCGAGCACCAAATCTGGGATCAGGAAATCGGATCGAGTCGAAGTGTGCATCGGATCGGGCCACACCGGCGCGGAGCCGAGCTCGGATGGGCTCGGCTGCGCCAGGCTATGCAGCAGCAGCCCCGTGCAGGCATCGGGCCGCATCGGATATCTCTTTGAGACGTCGGCATCGGATCGGATCGGATCGGCACACATCGACATCGAAGCGGGTCCATCGGAACGACAGGGGCCCTGCACCTCAAACTCGAGGTCGGAGTTCGGCGGGATCATGCCGCCGCCTATGCCCGTCGAGCCGTAGGCGAAGTCGCTGGAGATGCGCAGCTTCGCCTCTCGGTGGCGCGCCGAGGGGGGGGAGTGAGAGGGGGCAGGCTTTCTCAGGACGGCGGCGGGACTTCTCAGGAGCCCTCCCGCCTTCTGAGAAGCATTCTTTCGTTCAAACGAACGAGCTCCACACCGCACCTTCTCAACTGCCATGCGATTCAAAGAGTCACCAGGCAAACCCGGTTGCAACCCACGAGCTGACCTGCGATAGGCAACCCGTGAGGTAAACCATGGCCTTGTGAGAAGCATTATGAGCCTTCTCCGAAGCCACGGGCGAACTCTCACAAGGCTCGAGGGCATCTGCAACCAGCCTCGAGCTGATCCCTATTCATGAGATCGGCAACCCAAAAAGTGATGACAATCTTAGGGATGCGCCCTCAGACACTGAAGGAATCCTTCAGATCGGCGTTGAGACAAGATGATGCCAAACATAGGGATAGGAACATGTCGTCTCGCCGCTTGTCCTCGACGCACCCAAGTGGACAAAGCCGACACCACGGAAAAGCCACGACAAGCCCTGCGCCCCGCGGCCGACCAGACGAAGCAAGCACCGCGGCAAACCACACGGCAAACCCACCGCGCCCGAGGCTGAAGTCGGGCGTGTCCCCCTACAGGGGGATTTCCGACGAAAAATAACAAATCCCCCAAAAATAATCCACAATGGTCCAAACATGCTCAAACATAATCCCCTGACTATGTTTTGACTATTTTTGAAGATTCCCCCTGTAGAGGGACAGGCCCGACTTAACTATGCCTCCTCCCCCCTGGGCGCGCCGCAAATGGGGAGACCATAAGGCACCGATGCCGCTACTCCCTGGACCTCTCCCAGGGTGCGGTCTGACCAAAATTTCGAGGCGGATCCAGCGGTGGCGACGAGGGCCTCCCAGGAGGCCCAGCAGAAGGGGAAGACGGGCGACGGGTAGCGGGATGGGTGCCTTTTTGGACTACCTACCAGGCCGCCCCAACCCAACCCGAAGACCCGAATTTCGGGTTGGGGGGGGGGATGGGCTTCATCTGTATTTTTCCATGTTCCCCGACACCCCCCCCCCACTGGAAAGGGACGGCGAATCGGGGCCTTCGGGCTGGGTTGGGGTGGTTTGGTGGGCGGTGATTTTCCTCCTCTGGAGGCTGGCCCCCTCTACCTCCTCCCCCCACAGGGACGCGCCGCACTGGCGCCTTCTCGCCGAGGCTCATGAGAGGCACGGCGGCGTCCCACCCGCGGATCACCCGGCCCACGCCGATCTCCGTCTCGAAGGGCCTCCCGCGGTCCAGGCTCGAGTCGAACTTCTGCCCGCTGGCGCTCAGCCTGCCCGTGTAGTGGATCGTCACGACGTCGCCCCGCTTGGGGTAGGTTCGCCCGTCGCCCTCCTTGGAGGAAGAAAGAACCGACACACACGCATGAACTCTTGGCGCTCCGCGCGGATGGCTTGCATCTGCGCTGGACCCCCCCTTCCCTGGCGCGCGGAGCGCGGCGCGCCAGGGGTGGCGCCAGAGGCGCCGCCGGGAGGGCCCAGCGCGAACCGAAGAAATCCGCGCGAGGCGCCACAAGAGTTTGTGTGTATGGCGTTTTTTCTGCTTCGATGCCTCGATCACCTCCCGCTCCACGCCCATCACCGCGCGCTGCTCCGCAACAGGAATCGGCGGTCCCCTCCCTCCCTCCGGGACAACCTCCGTCTTTCCCGCCTGCCCTGCCTAGACTCTAGGAGGCCCCCAAGAAGGCCCCAAGAGGCTCCCAAGAGGTCCAAAAGAGGCCCCAAGAGACCCCAAAACGGCCCCCGAGGCCTCAAACCTGCCTCCGAGAGGCCCCCGAGAGGCCTCCCACGAGATCCCAACGAACATCCAATAGGCTTCATACCCACAACCCGGTGGCGGGATGGGCCGACGGCCAGTAGATGAGAGACTGGAATGAACATAAACGTTCGGAGGTCTGCGCTGATTTCTCGGATCGGCGCTAGACCCCCCTGCGCGCCGGCAAGGGGGGCCGGCGCCGATGCAAGAGCTCCGCGCGAACCTCCGAAAGCTCATGCTCGCGTCTGTTGATGTGATGTCGCTCCTTCTTGTTATCATTACGCCACCCTCCGTCTCCTTGTTGTTACTCGTCTCACTCGTGCTCTTCTTAGTGGTGTCATCCCACCAGCCCTCTGGGCGTCGGTGGTTTAGGACGTTTCCTCTTCCACCCCTCCCTCTTCCCCTTCGGGGAGGGGTTTACCCCTCCCCGTACCCCCTCACGCCGTGGACCTGAACGGGGGGGGCCGCGGATACTTAGAGCGTCCAAAACGGCCTCGGCGAGGAAGCCAAAATCATTCTTTTTACTATGGTTTTGGCCCCATTTTGGCCTCCTGGGGGGGGGGGGGTAATTAAGGACGCCCCCTTCGTTGACCGATCTCCTCCAAGATGGCCCCGAGAAGCGCCCAGGAGGCCCCAAGAGGTCCCAAGATGGCCCCAAGATGGCCCCAAGAGGCCCCCAAGAGGCTGCCAGGAGGTCCCCAAGAAGACCCTAAGCGGCCCCAAGAGGCCCCCCCCGAGGCACCCAAGACCCCGAAGAGCCACCCAGGATCGCCAAGAGACCCCCAAGACGTCCCAAGAGGCCACCAAGAATCGTCCAAGAGATATCCCAAGAGGCTCCGAGGGGCATCCAAGAGACCTCTGGCCCTTGTGCTTGCCCTCCTCCTCCTCCTGTTCCTCCTTCCTGCTCTTACTCCGTCTCTTCCTCCTCCTCCTCCTCCTCCTCCTCCTCCTCCTCCGCCTCCTCCGCCTCCGCCTCATCCTGCTCATCCTCCTTCTTCCCACTCCCTCATCCATCCATCCATCCACCTCCTCCTTCTCCTCATCACTCCTTTGCACGGTTCGGCCGTCCTCCTCTTTGCTGCCGCACTTCCCGGATCACCTCAACTCGCCTGGACATCGCTTCTGGATGGGCTGGTGGGAATACTTTTTTTTGGTCGCGGGCGGACGCGGAAACGCTGTCGCCGAAGGAAACTGGTGGGGATACTTTTTGTTGGTCGCGGGCGGACGCGCATTCGCAGTCGCCGAAAGGGAAACTGGTGGGGATACGCGAAGCGTCTAGAATTCCTCTTCGCCTTCGCCTTCGGAGGAGGAGGGCCCTCCTCGCAACGCCCTTGGAGGGGCGCCGGGGCCGGGGCGCGGGCCGGGCCGCCTCGCGCCGAGGCCCTGCGAGCCAGAGCGGAGGAGGCGGAGGCGGAGGAGGGGCGGCCCGCGAGGCCGGGTGCGGGCGAGGCGCGGTCCCCAGGAGCACCCCAAGGTGAGGAGCGAGCCCCACGAGCTCTGGCCCTCCCGCTGCCCTGCTCCCGCCTCCCGCCTCCCTCCTCCCTCCTCCCTCCTCCACCTCCTCCTCCTCCACCTCCTCCCCCTCCTCCCCCCCCTCCTCCTCCTCCTCCTCCTCCTCCTCCCCCTCCTCCTCCTCCTCCTCCTCCTCCTCCTCCTCCTCCTCGTCTGGGGCTCGTTCCGCCTCCTCTCTTCCACGAGCTCGACTCCGACGTCCCACGGAAGGCCCGCGGGGAACCTGAGGCAGACTGCCAAGCCCCTTCCCCAGCCAGAGCCCCTCCTGAGCCCAAAGTGGCTCAGATCCTCCTCCTCCTCCTCCTCCTCCTCCTCCTCCTCTGCTCCTCCTCCTCCTCCTCCTCCTCCTCCTCCTCCTCCTCCTCCTCCTCCTCCTGCTCCTCCTCCCTCCCCAGCGAGCAGCGACTGTGGCCGCGCGGCGCTGGCCGCGATCTCCGCGCCCGTGGAGCTGCCTCGCTCGCTCCGCCGTGCCCCCAAGCCCATCCCTCCCCCGCCCCTCGCCTGCAGGGGGAGCAGAAGCAGGTGCGGCAGGTTCGGTGGGCGCCCGAGCTATCCGGGGTAACTCGGGTCCGGGGTAGCTCGGGCTTGGATTCCCGAAAAAGGAACCCGAGTTACCCCTGACCCGAGTTACCCCTGACGATTCGGGGCTCTGGACGCCCGACTTATCCGGGGTAACTCGGGTCTGGGGTAAGTCGGGTTCGGATTCCCGAAAAACGGCAGGTTCGTGTCGTGACAGCTTCGGCGTTGGCTCCTGACTTCGCGTGGGTCCGTCAACCGGTTGCTTTCCCGTTCCTCCAGGCTCCGAGCACGATGGAAGCTGCCGGCTTCCCAGCTGATGGGAAGGGGACTCCACCAAGCAGAACCCGCTGTGCATCCGCCCTCGGCTGCAGCGCCAGCCGAAGTTTGCGCCTCGAAGCGTCAAGCTTGAGTGGTCGTCAGTTTTGCGTTCGCCAGATCGTTCCATGTTGGCCGATTCTGGGACTCGCGGCATTTAAACCTTGAACGTCCGTGGCTGGGTCGCTGCCGCTGCCGCGTCGACACGACACGAGCCTGCCGCAGACGAAGTGTCATTCGGCGGCGAGCGAGTGGGGGAAGTGAGAAGGAGAAGGCCTTCTCAGAAGGCGGCGGGACTTCTCAGAATCCCTCTGAAAGGCTTTCTGTGCCGTCGGGAAAAGCTTTAACAAAACTTCTCGGAAGGCCAGGGGATTTCCGAGCATTCTGAGAAGGACCGCCCCTTCTCACTTCCCCCCAGGGCTCGCCTCCGAGTAGTAGGAAGAATACCCACTTCCTCCTCCTCCTCCGCCTCCTCCTCCTTCTCCTCCTCCTCCTTCTCCTCCTCCTCCTCCTCATCCCCCTCTTCCTCCTCCTCCTCCTCTCCTCCTCCTCCTCCTCCTTCATCGTCCTTCTCCTCCTTCTCATCCTTCTCACTTACCTCCTCTCCTCCTCCCTCCTCCTCCTCCTCCTCCTCCTCCTCCTCGTCCTGCTGACTCTCCTTCTCAGCCGCTCCCACCCCTTCCCCCCTCCTCCTCCCTCCTCCTCCTCCTCCTCCTCCTCCTCCTCCTCCTCCTCCTCCTCCTCCTCCTCCCTCCTCACCCCTGCTCATCTCTGATGCCGCTGCTCATCTCCGAGCCTTCCGAGAAGGCCCGATCCTTCTCGCTTCCCCCCAGGCTCGCACGCCGAGTCATGCAGCCGCTTCTCCCCCCGCCTCGCCTCTCCTTCCCTCCGGGGCCCCGCGCACGGCGGCTCCTCCTCCTGATGCCCCCTCCCCCCCGCGCTCCCCCGCGACGACGCCCCCCCCCGCCCCCCTCTCACGAACGACCCCCTTTCCCCCCTACGACGACCTCCCACTCACATCACGACGTCCCCCTCGCCCCCCCACGACGAACCCCACCCCCCACGACGACCCTTCCCCCTCGCCTCCCCCAAGAACGACCCCCCCTCACGCTCACGATGTCCCCTCGCCTCCCCACGACGACCCCCCACACTACCCCTCCCCCCCTCGCCTCCCCACTACGACCCCCCCCCTCCCTCACCACCCCGTTAACGTGCTCCTCCTCCTCCTCCTCCGGAAGAGGGAGAGAGGGAGAGAGGGAGAGAGGGAGAGAGAGAGAGAGAGAGAGAGAGAGAGAGAGAGCGAGAGAGAAGCAGAAAGAGAGAGAGAGAGAAAGAGGAAGAAAGAGAGAGAGAAACAAAAGAGATAGAGAGAGAGAGAGACAGCCGCACACCGCAGTAGCCGCTTAATCCATGGGCCGTGGCCTCGCTCGCATGGTCTTAGCCAGGCCTGGCCGCTTGTACTGACACGGCCCTCCCCTATCATCCACATCCTTCGTTGCCCGATGTATGCGCTTCAGGCGCATGTTGTTGCGCCTGCTGCGAGCCATGTTTCAGACTAGCCGCTGCTCCTGTGCTCTCAGCTTGTTATTTCATGTCTTTTCCCTGGGGTGGAATCGCCCGCCCCCCAGGGTGTATGTGGGCAGCTTGGTAGCCAGCGGCAAAAAATCCTCCTCCTCCTCCTCCTCCTCCTCCTCCTCCTCCTCCTCCTCCTCCTCCTCTTCGTCCTTCTCATCATCAGCAGCATCACCATCACCACCACCATCACTCACAATCACCATCACCATCACCATCACTATCATCATCACCATCATCATAAACAGCATCATCAGCATCAGCAGCATCATCAATATCAGCAGCAGCATCAGCATCGTCATCAGCATCAGCATCATCAACAGCATGATCAACATCATCATCATCATCATCATCATCATCATCATCATCATCATCATCAGCATCATCATCATCCTCATCATCATCATCACCATCATCATCATCATCACCCTCATCATCATCAGCAGCAGCAGCATCGTCATCATGAGCAGCAACAGCCTGAGCATCATCAGCATCATCATCTGCAGCATCATCAAAATGAGTATCATCGTCATCTGAAGCACAAGCAGCATCAACAGCATCGTCATCATCGGCATCATCCTCATCATCATCATCGGCATCATCATCATCATCATCATCAGCATCATCACCATCATCAGCATCATCATCATCATCATCAGCATCATCATCATCATCAGCAGCAGCCGCAGAAGCATCAGCATCATCATATCCCACGTCCTCGCCCTCCTCCTCCTCCTCCTACTCATTCTGCTCCTCATCTTCCCCCCTCATGCTCCTCAACATCATTATCCTCAACCTCATCCTCATTATCATCCTCATCCTCATCTTACCCTCCTCCTCCTCCTCCGACCTGTCCCCATCCCCTTCATACTCCTTCTCCTCGTCTTCCTCCTCCTCCTCCTTGTCCTCCTCCTCCTCCACCTACTCCTGCTTCTCCTCCTCCTCCTCCTCCTGCTCCTCCTCCTCCGCCTCCTCCTCCTCGTCCTCCTACTACTACTCCTCCGCCTCCTCCTCCTTCTCCGCCTCCTCCTCCTCCTCCTCCTCCTCCCTCCTCCTCCTCCTCCTCCTCCTCCTCCTCCTCCTCCTCCTCCTCCTCCGCCTCCCTCCTCCTCTCCTCCTCCTCCTTCCTCCTCCGCCCTCGGGCTCCTCCGTCCATCCATCTTACTCCTCCTCCTCCTCCTTCTCTCCTCCTCCTCCTCCTCCTCCTCTTTCTACTCCTCCTCCTCCTCCTCTCTCCTCCTCCTCCTGGCTCCCTGTCTCTCCTCTTTTCCTCCCTCCCTCCTCCTCCTCCTCCTCCTCCTCTCCTCCTCCTCCTCCTGCTCTCCTCTCCTCCTCGCCTCTCCGCCTCCTCTCTCGTCCTCCTCCTCCTCCTCTTCCACATCCTCCTCCTCCTCCTCCTCCTCCTCCTCCTCCTCCCCGTCTTCTTGTTAGTATTCTTCTTAGTCGTAGGATTCGTGTGCTGCGTCTTCTTCTCTTTAGTAGCAGTACTGATAATATCAGCACTACTCATATTGTCGATGTGTTATTGATATGTGTATTAAAAATAGCCGGAGGAGGAGGTGGAGGAGGGGGAGTAGCAGCAGTAGTCGCAATAGTCGTAGTCGTAGTCGTAGTCGTAGTCGTAGTCGTAGTCATAGTCGTAGTAGTAGTAGTAGTAGTAGTAGTAGTAGTAGTAGTAGTAGTAGTAGTAGTAGTAGTAGTAGTGGTAAATGATAGCAGTAGTAGTCGTAGTCGTAGTCGTAGTAGTAGTATAGTAGTAGTAGTAGTAGTAGTAGTAGTAGTTATTTAGTAGAATAGAGGAGTAGTCTAGTAGTAAAGTAATTCGTAGTAGTAGTACTAGTACTAGTACTAGTACTTAACTAGTACTAGTACTGTACTAGTACTAGTACTAGTACTATAGTGTGGGTTCTAAGTAGATAGTGAGTAGTATCGTCGTAAGTAGTAGTAGTAGTCGTAGTAGTAGTAGTAAGTAGTAGTTCGTAGTCTTAGTTCGTAGTATTAGTAGTTGGTAGCAGCAGTAGTAGTTAGTGGTAGTATACAGTTAGCAGTAGTGTATAGTAGTAGTGGTAGTAGTGTAATCGCAGCAGCAGCAGTAGTAGTACTAGTAGTAGTAGTAGTAGTAGTCGTAGTAGTAGTAGTTGTTGTTGTTGTAGTCGTAATAGTAGTAGAAGTGGTAGTTGTAGTAGTAGTAGGTGGTGGTGGTAGTAGTAGTAGTAATAGTAGTAGTAGTAGTAGTAGTAGTAGTAGTAGTAGTAGTAGTAGTAGTAGTGGTCGTCGTCGTCGTCGCAGTAGTAGTAATAGTAGTAGTAGTAGTAGTAGTAGTAGGTAGTAGTAGTAGTAGTAGTAGTAGTAGTAGAAATAGTAGTAGTAGTAGTAGTAGTAGTAGTAGTAGTAGTCGTAGTAGTAAAAGTAGTAGTAGCAGTAGCAGTAGCAGTAGCAGTAGTAGTAGTAGGAGGAGGAGGAGGAGTAGGAGGAGAAGTAGGAGTCAAGCTAGCCAGCTCGAGCGAGTCAAGCATGGCATGCCCAGTCCCACCCGCCCTCCCACAACATAAGAAGCAAAGCTGGCACAACTGGGGGCCGAAGTCACACCGGCCAGCCGGTTTGGTACAGCTGATGCGGCCGCGATGGCGGTTGCCGACGGGAACTGGCGAGCGCGTGATGAATGCCGCGCACGCATTGCCAGACGAGTCGAGAATGGCCTGGTACACCGCAGGAAGCCAGAGGTGGCCGGAGGAAGCCCGACGGTCTGACAGGACACCCCACAGCATTTTTGTGAAAAAGCATTGGGTTTTTGATGTTTTTATGTTGAAATGCTTGCAAACACACGGTGTTCGGTAGGATTCTGACATGAACGCGCGAGTGTGCTCTTTGTGGTATTTTTTGCACAGGATTCGCGGCCTGGGTGCATGACAGAGCATCGCGAGTGCACCGCGCGATGACGTGAAATCGCTGGATTTGACAGAACTCTTAAGATTCCTATGGTTTTCCTATGATTTCAGCAAGAGAGCCCGGGCGGGAAATTTGCACAATTTTTGTGAGAAAAAAAAAGCATTGGGTTTTTGATGTTTTTATGTTGAAATGCTTGCAAACACACGGTGTTCGGTAGGATTCTGACATGAACGCGCGCGTGTGCTCTTTGTGGTATTTTTTTGCAATGGATTATCGCCGTGGACGACAGGACGTCCATGTCGAGAGGAAAAAATAAGAAAATGTTGATTTTGTATTGTTTTTTACAGGTTAGGATGGGACCACCCGGATGCGCCCGCTATCTGCCGGCCTGAGGGGGGAGTAGGAGTATATTCTAATAAGGAATAAGGATAAAAGTAGTAGTAGTAGAGTAGTAGAGTAGTAGTAAGTAGGTAGGAGTAGTAGTAAGTAGTTTAGTCCGAGTAGTAGTCGTAGTCGTAGTCGTAGTCGTAGTAGTAGTAGTAGTAGTAGTAGTAGCAGCAGCAGTAGTAGTAGTAGTAGTAGTAGTAGTAGTAATAGTAGTAGTAGTAGTAGTAGTAGTAGTAGTAGTAGTAGTGGTAGTGGTAGTAGGAGGAGGAGTAGTATTGTTAGTATCGCTAGTATTAATAATAGTATCTGCATTAGTAGTAATAATAGTAGTAGTAGTAGTAGTAGTAGTAGTAGTAGTAGTAGTAGTAGTAGTAGTAGTAATAGTAGTAGTAATAATAGTGATCGTCGTCGTAGTAGTAGTAGCAGCAGTAGTGTTGCTAGTGTTATTGGTATAAATAATGATACGAGTGGTAGTGCTAGTATCCGGCGTATGCTTAGTCGTTGTAATTCTAGTTCTATCAATACTAACACAGAGAATACTGTTGAAACACGCAGGAGGATACTACTACGAATACGACGGGTAATACTAAGACTAATAATTCCCCACATCCTGAGTGGGGTTCTGTTTTCCCGGAACACCCTCTCCTTCTCCTTCTCCTCCTCCCTCCTTCCACTACACCATACTAAACTATACCATGCCAAATTATACAAAACTAAACTATACCATACCACACCATACTAAACTATACCAAACTATACCATACCATACCAGACTAAACTGTACCGTGCTAAACTGTACCATACCATAACATACCATACTAGGCTATACCATACCATACCATACCAATACCAATATCATACTAAACTATACCAAACTTAACTATACCATACCATAACATACTGAACTATACCATAGTATACCATACCATAACATACCATACTAAACTATACCATACCATACCATACCATCCAGGGAGGCCCCGCCTCTCCAAGGAGGCCCCGCCTGAACGAGGAGGGTATCGGCATACCATACTATGTACACGGTTTCGTCCCCCTCCCACCCCTCCAGGGAGGCCCCGCCTGAGCGAGGAGGGTATCGGCATACCATACTATTTACCAAGTTTCGTACCCCTCACACCGCTCCAAGGAGGTCCCGCTTGAGCGAGGAGGGTATCGGCAAACCATACTATTTACAAGGTTTCGTGGCCCTCCCGCCCCTCCAGGGAGGCCCCGCCTGAACGAGGAGGGTATCGGCATACCATACTATTTACACGGTTTCGTGCCCCTCCCGCCCCTCCAGGGAGGCCCCGCCTGAGCGAGGAGGGTATCGGCATACCATACTATTTACCACGTTTCGTGCCCCTCCCGCCCCTCCAGGGAGGCCCCGCCTGAGCGAGGAGGGTATCGGCATACCATACTATTTACACGGTTTCGTGGCCCTCCCTCCCGCCCCTCCAGGGAGGCCCCGCCTGAGCGAAGAGGGTATCGGCATACATACTATTTACATGGTTTTGTGCCCCTCCCGCCCCTCCAGGGACGCCCCGCCTGAGCGAGGAGGGTATCGGCATACCATACTATTTACCAGGTTTCGTGCTCCTCCCACCCCTCCAGGGAGGCCCCGCCTGAGCGAGGAGGGAATCGGCATACCATACTATTTACAACGTTTTCGTGCCCCTCCCGCCCCTCCAGGAAGGCCCCGCCTGAGCGAGGAGGGTATCGGCATATCATACTATTTACACGGTTTCGTGCCCCTCCCGCCCCTCCTGGGAGGCCCCGCCTGAACGAGGAGGGTATCGGCATACCATACTATTTACCCGGTTTCGTGCTCCTCCCGCTCCTCCAGGGAGGCCCCGCCTGAACGAGGAGGGTATCGGCATACCATACTATTTACAACGTTTCGTGCCCCTCCCGCCCCTCCAGGGAGGCCCCGCTTGAGCGAGGAGGGTATCGGCATACCATACTATTTACAAGGTTTCGTGCCCTTCCCGCCCCTCCAGGGAGGCCCCGCCTGAGCGAGGAGGGCATCGGCATACCATACTATTTACCAGGTTTTGTGGCCCTCCCCCCCCTCCAGGGAGGCCCCGCCTGAGCGAGGAGGGTATCGGCATACCATACTACTTACACGGTTTCGTGCTCCTCCCACCCCTCCAGGGAGGCCCCGCCTGAGCGAGGAGGGTATCGGCATACCAGTGTATTTACATGCCCTTCCCACCTCTCAAGGGAGGCTCCGCCTGAGCGAGGAGGGTATCGGAAACCCGCACTATTTACCAGGTTTCGTGCCCCTCCCACCCCTCCATGGAGGCCCCGCCTGAGCGACGAGGATATCGGAAACCCACCCATACAATTTTACATGGTTTCGTTTCGTACCTTTCCCACGCCTGCACGGACCCCGCCTGAGCGAGGAGGGTATCAGAAACCCTTACTACATTTACAAGGTTTCGTGACTCGCCCGCGCTTCCAAGGAGGCCCCGCCTGAGCGAGGAGGGTACCGGAAAATTTTCCTATTTACACGGTTTCGTGACTTTCCCACGCTTCCAGGGAGGGTCTGCCTGCTGCTCATGATGCGGAGGATTATGCTGACGAGGAGGGGGATGATGAGGACCAGGATGAGGAGAGGGATGATCAGGAGAAGGATGAGGAGCATGAGGAGGCGGAGGAGGAGGAAGAGGGGCAGGAGGAAGAGGAGGACGATGAAGAGGGGCAGGAGGAAGAGGAGGACGATGAGGAGGAGGGGGAGGAAAATGAAACCACTCAAACCAACCTCCCGCTGCTGCTCCTGCTGCGGTTCCTGCTGCTGCTCTTCACCATCATCCATCTTATCCTCTTCCTTCTCCTCCTCCTCCTCCTCCTCCTCCTCCTCCTCCTCCTCCTCCTCCTCCTCCTCCTCTTCCTGGAGGGTATCGGAAAACATGCTGTTTACACGGTTTCGTGTCCCCCCTCGACTCCTCCAGAGAGGCCGCGCTTGAACGAGGAGGGTCGCGGAAAGCATTACTCTTCGCCAGGTTTCGTAGCCCTCCCCCCTTCCAGCGGTGCCCCGCCAAAGCGAGGAGGGCATCAAGAAAATGGGTCCCACGAAACCGTTAATCTCTTTATGTGGGGAACTCCGTTAGCATAATTAGTAACATTGGTTTGTTATTATTAGTTGTATGCGTGTTCGTCGTCTGCTTCGTCTTCTTAGTAGTAATAATGTTCTTCCCCGTAGCATGATTAGAATACGTCGTCGTATTATTATTCGTCTTTTAATTAGTAATTTATGTCTCCTCCTCCTCCTCCTCCTCCTCCTCCTCCTCCTCCGCCTCCTCTTCCTCCCCCTCCTCCTCCGCCTCCTCCTCCTCGTCCTCTCCTCCTCCTCCTCATTCTCCTCCTCCTCCTCCCCCTCCTCCCCCTCCTCCTCTTCCTACTCCTCCTCCTCCTCCTCCTCCTCCTCCTCCTCGTCTTCTTCTTAAGTCTTTTCTTCTTATGACTTGTCTTATTACTTTCCTCCTCCTCCTCCTCCTCCTCCTCCTTCTCCTCCTCCTCCCTCTCCCTCCACACGCGCCGCCCACAGGGAGGAGCGTCACCATGACGCCCTTCTCCAGCTGGTCCACTGCAGCCTTGAACGCGGACTGGGCCAGCTCGACCTCCCGCCTGGGCGCGCGAGGGGGGACAGCGGGAGCAGGTGGAGGAGCGATCAGGCGGACCCGGGCGACGAGCCGAGGGCGGGGAGGAGGGAGGGAGGGAGGGAGGGAGGGAGGAGGGAGGGGGAGAAATACATCTGGATGGTTCGACCGAACCGCCTCTACTTTTCTGTCTGGCCAGCTGAGCCGTGCCTCAAAAGGAGCGTTTGCAACGGCATGCCACTCCACCTGAACGCTGGTGCGCCTGGCACTCCGCTGCTTGCTATTTTCTCATCCTCTTCTTCCTCCTCCTCCTCATCATCATCGTCATCATCATCAGCAGCAGCATCCTCCTCCTCCTCCTCCTCCTCCTCCTCCTCCTCCTCCTCCTCCTCCTCCATTCGTTTTCCGCATAACTAACGTCTCCCTGTCGCACCCCGAGGCCAAACGCTTAAAAATTGGCAACAGCCTCACAGATGTGGAAGGCGGGCCGTTTTCCAAATGTGGTTCTCGCCGTAGCGCCGCGCACACTCGTTTGAAACATTTGCAAGGGCTTCACGGGTTGAGGGCGGGTCGTGTTCAAAGTGTGACTCTCGCCTCAGCGCCGCGCACATTCGTTTTAACTATGTGCAAGGGCTTCACGGATTGAGGGCGGGTCGTGTTCAAACCGTGGCTCTCACCATAGCGCCGCGCACACTCGTTTTAAACATTTGCAAGAGTTTCACGGATTGAGGGCGGGGCGTGTTCAAAATGTGGCTCTCGCCTTAGCACCGCACCGAAATCTGCACAAGCATGGGGCTGTCGGGGGTCTGCGCGGATCTCTGGGCTCAGCGCTGGGCCCCCCCTCCCTGGCGCGCGGAGCGCGCGCGGGGGCGGCGCCCGAGGCACCGCCAGGGGGGGGAACCCCGGCGCCCGAGGCACCGCCGACGGAAGAAGTCCGCGCGGAGCTCTGCCAGCTGATGGCCGAGACTGCGAGGAAGAAAACTATCGGCGAAGAAATCTCACTGCACCGACCGTGCAGACGTTCTGCAGCAGGTTTTTGCCTGGATTTCTGCCGGTGCAAAGCCCCGCAACGGCGATCGAAAAACGAAGTGAGTTTCACGTGGATCTGTTGTAGCCTTCATTCCTGGCCAAAAAGAATCCGCACGAAGTGAACTTCGACCAGAGCGAAACTCTCAGGACAAACCGGGCCCATGCCGGTGTGTTCCGAGCGAAGTCCGCTCTTCGATGATGGCGCCATGAGAAGGGCAAGGTTCCCCGAAGCTTCTGAAAACAGACCTTGGCCATGGTCTGCGGTTCACCCTGGAGGGGCGGGCGACCGGTGCTCCAGAGATCGGGCCAGCTCCCTTCGGCAAGTCGGCCAGGAAACGCCGGCCCCGCTTCTCGGGAGGAGGTGTCTTGCTCGTATGCTCGACCATATGTTTGAGAGCGTTCAGATTTCTCTTCACCTACGAAGGTCACGACATCCGCGCGGACATCCGACTCGCCCCACCCTGCAACCCTGGAGCCGTCTGGGCAGGCGGTGCCCCGCGAGCCAGCGACGGGGAGGGTGCAGCTCGAGCCAGCTGGAGGGGTCGCCAGGACAGAATGCCAGAGCGCGCGTTGCCAGAGTGGGAGGATCCAGGCAGTGGCAGGAAGGAGGAGGAAGGGAGGAGGGAGGAGGGACGGAAGGAGGAGGAGGCAGGAGGGAAAGAGAGGGGAGGAGAAGAGGAGGCGGAGGAGGAAGAGGAGGAGGCATAAGGAGAAGGAGCCCCTGAGGTGTGGGAGGATGAGGAGGAGGAAGAAGAAGAAGAAGAAGAAGAAGAAGAAGAATAAGAAGAAGAAGAAAAAGAAAAATAAGCAGAAGAGAAA